GCAGGTCGCGGTGTTTTTGCGTAAAATGCTGATCTACTTGTGCTAACGTAGATGGCTGAAAGTACAAGCTCCGTCCGGAAGAGCTGAGCTGGTCAAATCCTCATCAGATCACGGGAGTCTAAATTTGCATTAGAGGCTTTCCCCCTATGTGACTGCCTCGGTTTATACAAAGTCCTAGCTGAAGAGCAGCCCTTCGTGCTGCAGAGGCGCGTTGCTTTCGCTGTCTGGGCTGAGCGAAAGGGATGCTGCTGCCTTGGAGCACGCGGCAGCCGAGCAGTGACCGACTCCTCTCCTGCCACGGCACGTGGCCAGGGCAGAGCCGCTCCTGTTGCAGCTTTTGAGCTAGAGCTGGTGGACTGTAGCAAAAGACAACTAAAAGTAGCAAAACATCTCTGGAAAAATCTGAACAGACAGTACAAAACCAAGATGTATTATCTTTTTTTCAGGAAAAAAAAAATTTCCATTTCTAAAGCAAGGCCCTGCAGCTGGGCATTTTTTTTTTTTTTAACCAGAAAAAAACAGGGCTGAACAACACTTAAAACCACGGCCTGAAAAAGCAATTGTCAGGTCCGCCTGCACAGGCTGGCCCGACCTTCAGGGTTTTCATTCCATGTCATTCAAAGTTTGGTGAATCGTCTCGCGGGCCTCCGGGTCCAACAAAAACAAGCGGAGTGCCAGATTATTAAAAAGCAACATGTTTTGTAATGTAGTGGAACTGAAAAAAAACAAAAATCCAAACAAAGATATGCTATTTCCATCCAAATTTCTCTTCTAGTAGAGCTTTGGGTAAACAACGGAGCGACTCTACAGGGCGACTGAAAAATAAAAAGCACACACTAGACTGGAAAAAAACCAAAATCAGAGCTGACTTTTGGATTCCTGGACTTGCCAAGGGGCACGTTGTGGGGCTGGGTCCCCGCGCAGCTCGGTGCTCAGCGGACAGAGCTGCCCAAACGAGCCAGCGACAGCTCTGTCCCCTGCAAGGCAGGATGCAGGCCCTCCCCATGCCGATGCTCTGCCTGACTCTGAAAATCACTTTGGTTTCACAACTGTGCCCTCGTACACGCGTCTTTGCTGAGGGTCTGGGATCTCTATGAAGGACATTGACATTACACAAAAGCCTTCCTGAAAAAAAAAAAAAAAAAATCCATTCCTGCAGCCATGTATTGAATTTGCTTTGCCTGCGTTTCCTTTCCCTTCTCCGGTCACAATTCATCACTCTGTTGTTAATTTAGCTTACTAGCAGACACGCTCACCCAAACGTTACCTCTGTGTGAACGCTCCCAAAATATCAATTTCTGGATTGCAGTCATTAGTATCTGCGCTAATCCAGCCAAAAAAATAAGACATTACACTGCCTTGTGTGTCCTAGCGAAAGCAGCTTTGCGTTTCGATACAGCATTTCAAGTCAGTACACGATTCCCTCGGTGAGTTGCTAGCAAATAAGACGCACTTAAGATGAGTCCCGAACCACAGGAACTTTCAGGAAAACCACACAGATCTCAAAAGGGGAGGGAGAAAGAAATAAAATGCATCAAATTATTCATTACAGACTTAACGCTCACCTCAGATTAACAGTAAGCCATTGTCTGATCCCAAGTGTAGCAACAGATCATAATTTAGAACAGCTTTTATTCTTCAGTGACTAGAGCAGTTATTTCAGTGAGAAACTTCGGAGACAACCTGGGCCAATTGCTACCACTAAAGAGTCTTTCTTCATAAAGACGCAGCTTTCTAGCTGTCTGTTCGCTGTGAAAATAAACTCAGTAGGCAAATGAGAGTGATTTCTGCTACCAGTGCAACAAGTAGGTTTGAGGTGGAGTTAACCTTTTAAAAAATGCAGCGTATTCCTTGCAGCAGATGGTAGCGCTTGCATATACAAATACCTTTTGGAAATGATAATGTAAACCACATGCCTTGAAACAATGGGACTCCTGAGCTGAATCCCTTGTCCTCCTGTAAATGAAAACTGTGACTCCTCCAAGTTCAGACCGGAGGCTGCTGTGGCAGCACAGCCCTCTGCGGTGCAGCTGCTTCATATTTTAAAATGGATGAATGAATCCCCAAAATGCTTTCTGCTGCTCTAGCTCGGCCACTTTTGGTACCTGTACTAGCTGGGATAACTCTGTGTAGCGCGCTAGGAGGCTTTATATTCCTCTGCGTTGCAGGAGATGCAAGCATCACAAGGTCGCAGCACTACCTTGAAAGCTACTCAACGTACCCGTTACTGCTTTGCCACTATAAAAAGGAGCGAAGGAGAGGCGAGCGAAGGAACAGAACGGAAACGAAAGGAAAAGGAAAGAGATTCTAGAAGTTGGGGCTTTAGGAGTCATGCGGTGTAAGGAAACGTTACAGCAGGTGAGAACATCGCTGCAAAGCAGAAGAATTCTCTTCCAAAAAAAAAAAGAAAATTAAAAAAAAAGTCATTCTCTCCCTCCATACGTTCCCCTTCTGCAAAACAAACCGGCCCCATGGGGGACAGTCAGGAGCAATGTTGGGTTGTCTCGGTCCTGTGGTTTGTCCAGATCTGTGATGCTAAGCTCCCTCAGGTCCACGGGAGGGACGCGGTCAGTGGGATGGGAAACAGCTCCCAGGTCGGGGCCCCTCGACCCCGAGGCCAGGGCTCTCCCCGTGAGCGGCTGCTACTCAAAACACCTTGTGTCACGCGCGAGGCTGGGCCCGTCAGCCCTTCCTGTGCAGGCCTTACCTGGGGCTTTGCTCGCGCGTGCAGCCTACGCGATACACACCATTTCTCTGTGGAAAAAGCTGCTTTTCAGCTGGTGTCTCTCAACAGCTCCTCTTCTCACACGAGCAACAGGGAAGCCACGCTGCACTCCCGACCGGACATGAGGGCGCTCGAACTCAGTGGCGCTTCTAGATCACGCTGGAGAACCCCCGAGTGGGACAGGACAGGCTCAGGACAGCACACGGCGTCAATGGGACCACGTCGAGGAGGCTGCAGTGGCTCGTGAACCTCTCGCTGCCGCCTGCCAAGCCTCACAGTGGGCCCAGGGCAACGAACTGCTCCACGGACCTGCAAAGCTCGGTTTCAGCCCCTCTGACATGCTTGAGGTACCTGCAGCAGGATGGAGCCCAGGGCACTTTGTCTCTTACTCTCCGAACCTGGTGCTTGCTGAGGAGCATTGAAACGCCTCGGGACCCCACGTCGTGTGTTACGGCAGGACCACCTGGGCAGACGGGCACCTGGGAGACGTGTTATTTAGGAAGCAGTGAAGGCCATCACTGAAATGAAAAATGGGATGTGGGAGCAAACGAAGCATGATTCCACGCTCTCCCGATTTTACTTATTTATTTAAGTTAGATGTTTCCCTGGCCAACCCAACAGCTTTTTAATAATATTCCCCCCATAAGGTGTCTGAAAAACCCTACCCTTTTTTCTCCCTCCCACCCTCCTCGCAGTTACCAAAATCAGCAAAAAACCAGGACAGAAGGAGCTGAAGCCTTTCAGGACAACGTGCTGCTCGCCAAGTGGGGTCAGTGCAGACCATTTCAGTGGACAGAGGGTTTCTTCGACCAAGTCAGGAGCAACTTCAAGGCAGAAGTTATAGCAAAAGCTGCACAAGATACTAGCAAGCCTTGACCCTGGCAGCCCATACCCCTTCCACTACAGTCTACAGCACAGTTCCTTTTGTTAACGTTAATATTTGACGGCCGGGCTGGAACACGCAAGGGCATTTTAGTTGGGTTTTAAAGAAAAAAACTGACACAGAAAGAGGCAATGATTTTTCTTTTTTAATAGAGGATCTCTCTGGGGGGCTTGTGTTCATATCACAAACATTCACTTTATTACATTTTATGGAACAGAGTTTAAATGCCAGTATATACAAGCCAACATTTCATTATTGGAATTTGTGTTTATTCACTTGCCATTGTCAGTCTGTTCGCCTTTGTCTTCTGGTGCTGCTCTTTATAAAATCTATGATTTATGAATATGTGACTTAGATCCTTCACAATACAGTGTGGTGAAGTGGTTCGATAAAAAGTTATTAAAGTTAAAAAAAAAAAAAAAATCTATACAGTTTCCCATGCTTTGCCCACTTTCTACAGCAAACCCCAGTCAGAGACTCCTCTACTAAGCAAACGCCGTGTGCGTGACTGCATAATATAAAATACACGCTGAGAGGCTTTGCTCCGCCACAAATAAAAAAAAAAGCCACTGCTGCCAATTGCAATTTTGCTTTCACAAGAACTGCAGGATTATGCCCTCAGCAAAGTTATGAAAGTTGCGTAGACCAAAAAGAGGAAGGAAAAGAGTCTACCATGAAAAGTTCATTTTAAATCAGGCAATTAGGACTTTTCCAGTAGCCTAAAGATACACGGTACCAAGTGGCGTTGGGTTCCCAAGCGTTCGAAGGGCGCGCGCCACGTATTTAACTCATTTCTAGAATGAGGCCATCAGTCCTGCTGATTGCAGACTAAGCAAAGCAGACTGGCAGTTCCCAGGACCCACTTAGACAATGAATTTCTGCAGAAATAACACGCTTTTAGCCTAAAATAAAAGCAGAGCAAGGAAGAGGTCAGAGAAGCTGCAAGCAAGACTGGCATGTCTGAGCCCCGCTGGTGAGATGCAGAAGGGGTTGCCAGCCCAAGGCAGGGACAGGGACCTCTGGCAGGGCGGCAGTCAAGCCAGAGAACCGCCTATTACTTTTGCTACAGGACGCTGCTTGCTTCCCACGTGGCATAGACCTGTTCTGAGCATGAGACAAGACTGGGTGAATTGACAGGATGTGGTTCAGCTAAATCCGAAATTCCCTTTGCTTAGGCACGGCTGGAAGATGGGGTTAGCAGACCTAGGCAAAACATTAACAATTTAGCACAAGTAAGATAAGCATTAAACCTAAATCTTTTTTCATACAACAACCAAAAAACCCTTCCAACCGAAACTTAAACCCAGGGTATTAAAAATATTTAGATACCTTAAAAGCATACTCAGGA